TTCTGAAGGTTACATGTTGTTTTCAAATCTGCCTGTTCTTTCCAGATAGTTTCTTACTATCTGCATATCTTTGTGATCACATCCTTTATTTTATTAAATACTGCACACCTTGCTATTCTGTATTTTATATCTGACAGTTTCATTCTCTGCAGGGGGCAGTCTGAATGCATTGTTGGTTGTTTCTGGTACGTGTCACAGTTTGCCTTCTCTTGTGCATGGTGATCTTTGATTATGAACTTGCTGCTTGAACTTCCTCTATGGGAGACCTGAGGATATATATTAGGGCTTCTTCCTCCAGAGAAGATTTACTTTTGCTTTTTAGAGTAGCTCAAGGATGCCAGTGATCTGAGACCCCTTCAGACCCCCTTTAGGGTCTTGGCTTACAGGGATCTTTGGCTTGGTATATTAGTCTGTTTTTTGTTGGCTGTAACAGAATATCTGAAACCAGGTAATTTATAAAGAAACAGAATTTATTTCAGTTTTGGAGGCTGGGAGGTCCAAGGTCCAAGGGTCACATCTGGTGAGGATCTTCTTGGTGGGAACTCTCTGCAGAGTGCCAAGGTGGTGTAGGGTATTATGGTGACAGGGCAGGAGTGAGAACGTTTTTACTTGCTCACTTGCTCTCTGTAAAGCCATGAGTGCCACTCCCATGATAACCCATTCATCCATTAACCCATTAATTCATGAATGGATGAATTCATTCATGAAGGCGGAGCCCTTGCGATCCAGTCACCAACCAAAGGCCCCACCTCTCAACACTGCTGCATTGGGGATCAAGCTTCCACATGAGCTTTGGAGGGGATAAACATTCAGACCACAGCAATTGGCTTCTCCCAAGCCTGAGAGGAACCTGGCCCAAGGCTCGGTATTCCATTAGTATGCTGCCATCAACATTTGCTCTCAAGACAATCAATCCTGCTGCTCCTGGCTGCCCACTGCCCTGGCATCACGTGGGAACATGTGTATAGGGTGTTCTTTGGAAGCCTCTGTGATTCCTTTTATACCATCTACAGCTTTCAGATTTTTTTCTTGATTTTAAATTTTACCCAAATAATGAATCTAGGTGTGGCTTTTTAAAAAATCCAACCTGCTTGGCACTCTGTGAGATCTTCCAATCTGAAACGTTAGAATTTTCTTTAATTGTGGCAAATTCCTGGTCCCTATTTCTTTAAATATTTTTCTTCTCTTTTAATTCCTTTTTTGCTTTCTGGAACTGCTGTGAGAAGGAAGTTGACACTTCTGTTTTATCACATTTTTTTCCATTTTTAAAATCTAGTCCTGATGCCTTCTGAGAGAGAGTGCCTTGATGAATCTCACCAATTTCAGTCTTCCACCACATTCTGCTTTTCCGCCAATCCTCTAAGTGCCCTTATCAAAACTCTTATTTTTCAAACCCACGGTATTTTCAGTCAGTGTTTCTAACTGCTTCTTTCAACTCCACATTTCCAATAGCCTCCTAGTTCACTGAGGCTGTTGGAGATAATGGTTTTGTTTAAGTTTTTGTTCTTTGTTTTCCATTAGATCTGC